GTTTTTATGGAAATAAATGTATGCTGTTTAAAAACCTCGCGATTGCTGAACAAGAAAACGACATGCAATATATTTACTTTGTTGTTCTTTTGAACTGATCTTGTTGAACAATAGTTTTGAAAGAGATCGTTATTTAACCACGGTGCCATATATATCAACATGTGTTAATATTGCTGAGCTTACACGAGGTTGATATGAGTTGTTCATTCGGCTAACGTTTCGACGTCTTCGTCTTCATTAGAGCCGACGATCTTTGTGGATGATCCACATCTATTTCTCTTCTCGATGTAGTGTCTTCGCCTCGCACCGAACCAAATATTCCTCAGTTGAGCACCTCGAATCATCATATTTGATTTCTGAAATTTATCCAAAATGCATCAAGAGTCATACGCGTTGATGTTTTTGATTCTTGCGATGGGACCCGGACAGTCAATGTTCCAAAGATGAACCGGAAAGACGCATGCCTCACTATCACACGTCATCTGACGCCTTACTTCAAATTGATTTTATGACCAGGATGAGTTTTGCTTCTCATCCCACGTGAACAACAGGAAAAACCCGACACATCATCACAGCTTGTAGTTTTTGATCAATATAGCGTTCATTTGTATGTTAGATCTTCACTAATACTGTAGTTTTTTACCGAATTATAAGGCTATTGGTAACCTTTTACTTTCTGCCTAGTATAATTTTTCAAGGCACGGTATGGCGTGAAATACAGCCATAACGATGCTGAGATATTTGCAAAACTTGGGCCCTGAGCCAGATCGAACCACGATTTCCCTTTCCAGGGGCTCCGTAATGCGCTCCGTAACACCATCACAGTAAAAAAAGGTGGTAGTTGATTACGCTGAAAGAGTTCTACTCTATACGACGTCGTAAATTTTGTGGTCTATTTGAACTAGCATTGAATGCTAATTTATTAGACCGTTAACAAAGCGTAGATAACGCACTTAATACTTGATATTTGAATTGCCCGTCCACACTGGTTGTGCGGGCCTTAGCATAATCTCCACTTTTCGAAAATTTGCTGGTTAAGCCATTGTGGTTCTCTGGAATCCCGAAGTCATCCTGCCCAAAATTTGCTCCAGGTCTTCACCACCGAAGGCAGTCGCTGCTGTTGTGGATCAGAGGGAGATTTGCCACCATGCGACTTTGTTACCGGGGGTGGATCCTGATAATGGTTCACTTTTAGCTAGGCTTCCTGATAGAAGCCCCAGACTCCTTTCAGCTTGAGAGACTCTGCTAGAAAGATGAATTCTCCACTGAACATTGCAGACCGACACCCAGGAACACCTTCCAACCACGATGAGGAGTTAAACCATTGGATGAATGTAGTGTATAGTATAATTAACGTATAAAGAATTAATTTATATATTCACTTAAATAGACTCAACTTCAAGATTTTATTAATCTCAAATTTTTTTCCATTCCTTCTGCCATTCCGCGATTCGAATATGGTAAGATCACCAACCAAACCCTCCATAATCCTTTCCACAAGTCGTTTGCCGCCGCTACTAAGAGATTTAATTTATTCCGCCTGAAAGTGTTATGAAACACCGTTGTGTAAAGAGAAGTGCGTTTCATTGATTGTTGGTTGGTTGTTGAGTGGTTTCTATGAGATAACTGACCAGCTTTTATGCCTCTTTAACGGCAATCGAACAACATTATTCTTCCTTAAAATAAGGAAGTGGACCGCTTTTGCGAAGCTGTGTGGCCCGTCAGGCCCTCGACATATGTGAATGCAACGGTTTCACTGAGAGGTTTCATTTTCTAGCGGTTTCGTAGAAGGTAGTGTAAAAGCGATAACAGATTCCTTCATGGATTTCACTATTGTATTTCGCGATTGCTTTAATTTTAACTTTTTTCTGCGTAGTTTCAAAGCTTATTTCTTCCTTAACAGAATCTGTGATCTCTTTTGTCTAACTGTTAAATTACTGAGATTTTGGCTTGCATGAAATGGTGCTCTCAAATCATGAAAATCGAGGCGTTTCGTTTCATGAGTTCCAACTAGGACACAAGGCAACGATGACAAATCGAATTTTCATCAAAGCATGCTTCAGTGAAGGGTTTCCGACGGCACATCTTAGAGATGGCTTGTAAGGTTTCTTGTGCCGAAGATTTCAGTTTTCGCGATAGAAAGGCCGAACTCGCCTCTAATCAGTTCCCGACGGCTATATAAAGCTGCGATTTGAAGGTGTTTCTAGGGAAACCACGTTAGGGATTGAAGAAAAGAGCATTCTCGACTCAGCGATCGTACATCACTTGCAGAACAGTGAAAAGTTGAGGAAGCACTTCAAATAGGCTTCTACATGAGTTGAAAGTTTAAGCGGATACATCATCACGAAATCTACTCTGCCTTTCTTTTAAGCACCCAAAATAACGCTTTCTCAATCCGTGAAAGTGCGAGCTAACGACAGCTCACTTCCCTTACAAGTTCTTTACACAGTTTTGCCACTGCTTCGGAAAAATTATCATAGCATATAGCTGTTTACTTTTTTATGCCTCTTTAATTGATATGTACACCATCGTGATTTTTTTTTGATGCCTGCAATTTTGCAAACAATGAAAAGTGATCCACTCCCTATTTGTAACATACGACGTTAAGTGTATCTGCTAAACCGAGATAATGTTCATGATTTATTTTCAAAAACGGATTTACATTAAAAGACAGCGACTTCTTTTTTCGATAGATTAGACAAACTAATAAACTTGATACTTGATACGTGAACTGCCTGTCCTCTCACTGGTTGTGCGGGTCCCTGCACAATATATATTTTTCGGAGATTTGCTGGTTAAGCCATTGTGGTCCCCTGGAATCTCGAGGTCACCCTGGCCAAAGCCGGTCCCAGTTTTTCATCCCCACAGGCAGTCGCAGCCCTTGTGGATCAGAGGAAGATTTGCCACCATGCAACTAGTTTGATACCAGGACAGTTTTCGATCCTGTTATTGGTTTGTTGAGTCTTATCTAGGCTTTCTGATGGAAGCGCTGGACTCATTCTCAGCTTGGGAGACCCTGCCAGGGATATAAATCCCCTCACTGCACATCGCAGCTGAACATCCAGGAACACCTCCGGGATGCAATGACGCAGTAAACCATTGGGAGGGTAATCTAATAAAACGTTTAGTATATTTCAGAACGGTCATAACTGAGGAATACTGCCATAATAGCGATAAAAATTTTAAAAAAATTAGAGCATATGCCCAAAAGTGGTCAGAAAAGCTTATTCTTGCTTGACGAGAAGACTTCTTTTAATGGTTAAATAGTACCACGTCATGTTACACAACCGACACTAGAGCAGTGAAACAAGTTGAGGTATAAAATCATTTTTGTCAAGGGTTTAATCAGACCTTTCAGTGTTTAAAGACAACCTTTTTTAAGCGTCTCAACAAGTGCTAAGTGCAAAAATCTTCAGCGTCCAAAAAATTGCTAAAATTTGCTTCAATAGAATCCGTCCTCTCGAGGAGCTACGCATTTCTGTGTTACCGTGAAAGGAAACAGTGTTTCTTGTTGGGAAAGTTTTTGTATTCTAGTGGCCGTGATTTTGAAAGATGAAATTGTGAACCAACTTAGTTATACTATCTAAAAGCTGCATGACAAAATCTACTCATCATTTAGAGCAAGCCAGTTGTCAGCAAAAGTTCTAGTACAGGACGAATCAACTTCTTAAATGCATGGCCGATTTCTTCTGCCATTTCGTTGGCAGAATAACCGTTAACTAGTTTCGTTATTTGTCAAGGTTTCTGTCCTCTTATAGATATGCTGTCCGAGTTGTTAAGTCCATGCGTCGTCTAGTCGGAACTGAAACCTTACAGTTCACATATCCAAGAGCCATTTTGACCGTCGAAGAGCGAGTTTACAGACCCCTAGACATGTTCCCAACATGAGGGCTCGGCATCTTTTCTCGCCCCTCTCGTAGCGGATCTGAACCGTAGCAAATTTGGACCGTAAGCACCCATAACAAATTAGTGAAAAAAAAATACTTCGTTGCGAGCCACTTTCGCCAGCTGGTCGTAGTACTCACCCAGTTCACTCTAACTAGGTTCGGATAGCTTAAAAGCAATTACTAGCTCCAACCTTGTTTTTCGACGCGGACGGTGAAGGGAAGCATAATCGGATTAAATTTAGCAATTCACAGGAAGCTCTGTTCACAAGTCGGTAAGTGGACTTCAATAGCAAAGGAACTCAGGTTTATCGACGATTATTAGAAATGGTTTCAACTCTGGTTGATACTGCAGCGCTAATGTGGCTTCTTATGAAAAATCACCAGAAAAGGGCACGAAAAGCTTTGTCTGGAAAAACTTTAGTCTTCATTTAATCATTGCAAGGAAAATAGCTCGATGTAACCCTTATAAATAGTTTGTTTCCTTTTCAAATGACGTTAACCTCCTATTAGTCCTTATGGGTCAAATGTCCACAAATACCCCAACGCACACCACATTTAGTTTTCAACGTTGAAACTACCGTACACCAAAAAAACAAGTCAAAAAATGATGAAGGTATTCATGCACCAACGTATGACAGTGCTAAGTATAGAGATCGTAGCTAAGTTTAAGGCGCTAAATCCGAATGAGATGGCGTAAAGTAGGTTTTATTACGGGTTCAAATGCAAGATTATAAAACAGAACAAAGGCTTGTCACGTCAAAAACGCCTAAGAAACAAAAAAGATCAAAGACAATACACATCTCTACTACTGGGGTGCTAAAGAATGAGTTCATCTGCAGCTAATAGAACTCGACATTACACATAACGAAGATGCCTGAGAGTTCTTCTTTTTTAAGGAATAAGAGATGTAGAGCGGAAGGACTGAGAACAGTATGATATTCATCTATGAGGTTCTAAATTGTTTTGTTTTAACATCGAATACTAAGGATTTTAAGCTTTTTTTAAAGACGCCTTCCACGTTATGAAACTACTGACGGCTTGTTGCAACGGATTTTTCTCATGTGGTCTATTTTTTCTTTCATCTACTCGAATGTGAGCCATTCACTTTTCAGAATGGATAAAACCGGTGAGATGCTAAGCGCGGACGAGAAAACTTTCACAGTACAACTAAAACCGGCATCGGAACTTGAGATGGATGATGATCTATGCGGTAATCCGGACCTTGCCACAAATGTGCGTTTGTGTTTCATCACAATGCCATTGCCTTTTTCTCTCAATCCTAATCTATTGTCTATGCCAAAGTGAAAGCTGACATAATACACTTTAAGGAGACTCGCTGGCAATGTATACATTAATCATTAAGCTCTTCCTGCTGCTTATACACATCTGTGGAAGCAAACTTAGTTACACAGAAGGGATGAAAAGATGAAGCTCTCGGCGTTGATCAATCCCTGGCGGATGCGTCATGCATTCAACTTCATTAACCATCGTTTGGAGATAATTGAATGCATATTCTAGCCTTTATAATGACTCTCGGTAGCCTACCGGCAGTCCTGCTATCCACGTGGATAAGTCTCGTACCAATTTGACGACGCCAGAGAGATGAAAGGCTTTGTGAGCCTGGGGAGTGAGGATCGATCCCATGTGTGTCACAGGGCGCTTTCGGCCACTGCGCCACACGAAATACAAAGACAGAAGACAAACTTGGTGACGTAGTAAAAATAACTTTTTCATGAATACTTGAACAGTCATTCTTTGCCATTCATGGGAAATTATTCTTGGGCCTATCACAATTCCATCATTAGTAGATGGAGAAGTTCTACCTTCTCTAGAGACTTCACCATGTTGTTATCAGCACTCGTCGACTAATGAACATATTTTTGAGAGAGTGGCGGCCATTCCTAGCAATGATTTCCCTTTAGGACTTCCTCATGGTAATGTTAAGTAGTTCCTTAGAATCAGAGGCTTTGGTCAGATAGATGTGAGATTTTGGTTCAAACAAAGTTCAGTGCGAAATTTAGAAGGCCCATCATGCCTCGCCGGTAAGAAATTCTAACAAAACCTTCACAATACAATACAACAGTAGATGACGTTTTGAAAGTATCGCCTTCTTCAGAGCCTGGAAGGATCAAATTATAATCAGCTGTTCTAATCTTCCTCATTGGAAGTTACGTAAAAAGCAGTGTTTTTCGAGATGTTGATCATGTAATTTCCACAGTTTTTCGTCTTTTTGTAAGTGTTATTGAAGCGTTTGGCCTAGTAGATTGTATATCAGTATACCCTTCCGGGCTCTGAAGAAGACGTTACTGTGCCATATCAGCAATGCCATAAATGTATGCTGCTTAACAGCCTCGCGATTGTTCAACAAAAAAACGACGCATTCACATTCCAATGCCGAGGTTAATAGAAAGTCGATCCTGAAAACCTTCACAGTTTGATCTGATTATCGAAAGTATCCAATTTGCAACCGGCCTCTCTTGTCATCTTTAGAAATATGCTGCAATAACTGTTGGGTTAACTTATCAATATATTTTGTCTCGATTAATTAAAAAAAACCTCTTCAACCTTGCTGTCTTACGAAGAATGCAGCAAATCGTTTACAGCAGAAGTCGAAAGGGTTTGCTGATCGGAGGGGAAAATTCAATCTGCAACAGTGTGAGGCGATTATACTCCATCGTTTCTCACTCGTCATTGGCTGCCAGTAAAAGAGACGAATCCAAAGTACCTTCGAACTAATCATAGGCGATCGGCGTACCTACCATCTACCATTCTCAACATTCCCGTCAAATGTGAACAAAAATAGGCACAGATGCATTGTTTTGTCCATTGAAATCAATTTGATTAGACTTCCAACCACACTGGCCGGAAAAATACGGCTGCTTTCAAATACAAACCAACATTTCTCACCTCAAAGTGAAGTTTATCAAATGCATAAAGAGTGCAAAGGTCCGGAAGTTTTGTTCCACTAGGTAAAGGCTTTCTCGTTTTACCACGATAAAATTTTAATTTTCTGGCGATCACCGAACTTACAATGCGTACTTTTTCCGTCAGGACTCGTATTTCACAAATCAAAGAAGCAACAAAGTAGCAGTGCTTCGATCAGGGCAAAACAATGTCTACAAATGCGTTGTTGATGTTTATATCCTTCGCTCGGTATTTTGAAAATTCAAATTTCGCTCCCGTTTGCTTTGGAATTTCTAATTTTAAACAACTATAAAAACTAAAATGACAATTTTTAAAACACTTATCAACTTTTCGATAGAATACAGTCTTTGCCATAAACCGGCCACGATTTCAACTCCTCAAATTCTCTGGTTATCAAAAAATTGCCGACAGTTTGCCAAAAATTATCCTCGAGATCCTAACCTTAGCAAATTTTTGACTGCAATTCTTACAGTGTTACGTTTGACGATCTCTAAATTTATACCTTTAAAAACGTATAATCTCCCCAACAAATGAGATCCATGTCCACTCTTGAAGAGCCTAGCAAGCTACCCGTGAGTATACCTATCTCCCACGTTCAGAGTCCAGCAAGCTACAGGTGGGTAACAAAAGTGCTGAACCCAGTAAAAAAAAAACGGGCCTCATTCCCTTGACCCCGAAAGAGGCCCAATTTCGCAGTGCTGCGCAGGACGAGTACGGAGAGGCTGATAAAATCTCAGGGCCAATGGAAGATGTCTGGATTTCAAAGAACTGTGGTGACGATCTGTACCTACATTGCACGTACACTTGCATGCGAGTCCTCGATAAAAGACTTGCTCATGCAAGCAAGAAGGATAAGGTACGACGTCATTGGCCTGGCCGAGACGAGAAGACGCCAGCCTTTCAACGCCGTCCATGGCACCGGAGAAGATCTGTTCCTCGCAACATGCAGCAGAAGAGGAGTCGGCGTTCTCGTCAACACGAGTTTGTCCATGAACATCGGTTCATTCGAACAACTTACAACCCGAATCAGACGTTTACAATTAAAAAGACGTGGATCAATTCCGGCTTTGACAATATCCGTCGTTTACGCCCCGACATAAAACTATGACGAAGAAGAAGTCGAAGCGTTCTATATGGACTTGAAGAAGTTCTGCAGAGAAGACCATGCTTTCTTGAAGATCGTCATTGGAGATTTCAACGGGATGATCAACGGGACTACAGGTTCTCGTCAACACGAGTTTGTCTAAGAACATTGGTTCATTCGAACAGCTTACAACCCAAATCGGACGCTTACGATTAAAAAGACGTGGATCAATACCGACTTTGGCAAACTTCGTGGTTTACGCCCCGACATCAAACTATGACGAAGAAGAAGTCGAAACGTTTTATATGGACTTAGAGTAGTTCTACAGGAATGATCACACATTCTTTAAGGATATCATTCGAGATTTTAACGCATAGATCAAACCAAGAAGAACATCTGAAAAACGACATGTTAGGACCAGCGAGTTAAAATGAAACGGGCAGGATGAGTGGCTGTCTTAGTTTATCATGACAAAGGCTATGGTAATGCGCGATTTCAGAAGCTTCACTCTCAACGCTGGACGTGGGAGCCTCCAAAAGAGGACACCATAACGAAATAGACCGAATAATAGCAAATCGAAGAATATTTTGCCTAAGTTGAGTAGCTGTTGACCCGAAATTCTACCCTAAATAGGACTATCGTTTCTTCCACATATGATTTCACTCCTTGTGGAAAAGAGAAAAGCCGTCAAATTCAAATAACCAAGTTCCAAACCAGCGTAAACAAGAATTTATTCAGTTCACTAGTCGATGATTGGGAAAATGCTGTTGTTGATAACATCGACGAGAAATGCGACCGGCTCATTCAACGTCTCCACGTTAGCCTTATGAAATCTGAGATTTCGAAGGGCACCAAGAGACGTTTGCCACCAGAAATATTCGAGCTGATATGTCACCCTAGAATTGCACGAGCTAAGGCAACCTTCTACTAACGTCTAACCTTGCAAAACAACGCTGAGTGCTAGGTCACTGCTCAGTGGAAGACCAGCAAAACCGTGTCATTGTTCAAGGAGGGTGATCTCGAAGATATCGGCAGTTGTAGCCAAATCTGCAGCCCAGTCTGCTTGCTTTCTGTCATTTAAAAACTTCTTACTCAAATCATCATGAACAGTACGAAGAGAACACTGGAAGAAAGACAGTTATGTGAAGAAACAGGGTTTCGAAAAGGATTCAGAACGATGGACCACATCCACGCTATAACAAAGCTCCATGAAGTTTAGCAAGAGTACAGGAGACCACTCGGTCTCCTTTTATCGATTTAACGAAGGCGTTTGATTCAAATGAGATAGAAGCAAACATGGGAGCCCTTGATAGGCAGAGGACCCTACTCACTATATAAAGGTTCTTCGTGAGCTGTAGAAAAATTCCAGAATTAAGATATCACCATTCTACAGCGAAATTAACTTTAACGTCCAAATAGGGGTTGGTCAAGGCGATACCATCTCGTAAGAATTATTTTCCACTACCCTCGAGAACATCATGCACACATTGTAATGGGACAACATGGAAGTGAAAATCGATGCTCGTCCATTATACTATCTTCGCTTTGCCGACCACATCGTCCTTATATAACAAACATTAACCAAGCAGAACGTATGCTTAACGACTTTGATAAGGCCTGTGGAAAGATTGGTCTTTGACTAAATCTCACAAAAACGATGTTCATGAAGAACGGATTGGTTTCGCGTGCCCGATTCACACTCAACGGAACGAATACCTCCGAATGCTCCAGTTATATCTATCTAGGTCGGGAAATCAACATGATGAGCGATCTAGCTCCAGAGCTGAGCAGAAGAAAGCGAGCGGCTCGAGGAACCTTTAAGAGCATCGAGGAAGTAGTGAAGAGAACAAAGAACACCCGACTCCGTGCGCCCGTTTTCGACTCAACGGTACTTCCTGCCCTAGCGTATGCGTCAGAAACCTGGTCGCTGCGTAAGCAGGATGAAAGATCACTCAGCGTTATTGAACGAGCAGACACTATTAGGAGTGGCCCGCGTCACACAAGTGATGGAAGAGATTCGAAACTCAGACATACGTCAACGAAGATAAATCAAATATGGCGTTCTGTATGATAAACTGTCGTAGATGAGGTGAGCTGGACACGTTATGTGTATTTACGGCATTTACGACAACCAATGGACAGGGAATCGTAAGTGACTGAATTTCTTGGGATGTGCGCTGCAGAGAGACCAACGACTCGATGGTCAGAGTTCTTAACGGAAGCCATAGAAGAATGCTATGTCCTTCAAGGTGCTCCTAGAGAGAGAAGACCCACTGAGGTACTCTTGTACGCGGCGGGGTAAAATGGAAGATTTACTCTCACCCTTAGTCTACTAACAACGGAAACACATATAAAACAGATCAACACCATGTTTTTCCTAAGCACTACATTTTTACGAGATGTATTATTTTGTAGAAACGGACGACTTTCGGCTCAGGCGTTTTTATTTTTTAAACAACAGCTTCTCTTTGTACGGAAAAATTACTGAATACACGAAGAATAGAGCTTTATAAAAGTTGGAAGCGAAGAAGAAATGATCTATACTGTCGATAGGTATTGAAAAAGAAAACATTCTAGCCCCATATCCTATTACTTTTACCAACTTTTTTCATTTTTCTCTTATTTCAGAAAGCTAGTCGTTTAGCCTCATCCCGTTGTTTCTGACGTTATTTCTCAAAACAGCAGATGAAAGCTCTGGTGTCAAGTAATTAAACTTCGCCTTGAGATTTACTTAGGTAACTACATCTACCACCTGCCTTTCAATTTCGTGGAATGTAGTGCGACACATAAGGACGCGAAAGGCTTTGGTTCTTCAATCACTTTATGGTTGAAATACGGGCATCGGAGGAGTAGAAATGTTTTACCGGCACTATCGCCCATTAGTGCTTTGCTGTTTCAAAAATTAGTATGCATTCTTTCTTTGATGAGCTTACACGAGGTTGATAATGATATTTATTTTCGGCTAACGTTTCAACGTCTTCGTCTTATTCAGAGCCGATGATCCGAGTCGATGGTTCATGCTTGTTATTCGTCTCGACGTTGCAGCTTCGCCTTCGTGTCGAGTCAGGTCTTCCTCAGTGAGCTATCTCCTTGAATGAGGTATCCTCACTCAGTGATGCCTCATTCAAAAATTAGCATTTCACTGTCGCAGAATAAAGAATTGAGCAAAAGCAGATGTGCATACATTGTTGAGCTTACACGAGGCCGGCAAATTAGTTTTATTCGGTTGACGTTTAACGTCCTCGTTTTCATCAAAGCCGATGATCCGAGACGATGATGCACCATTGTTCGTTTTCTTGAAGTGGTGTCTTCGTCTTCATACTGAGACGGATTTTCTTTACCGGAATAATGCACGAATGAAGGATGCTCACTCGGGAATGCTCTTTAATACAAGGCGGTTGTTGTTGATATGACTATCCATTGACAATAGTTTGTTTTTCAACTGATAATCCACCTAGCAGCAGTCGGTATTAGGTAAGCTAGCACACAGCGAATAACAAAATGATTTTCAAATCGACCATCATTTAACTTCTATAATAAAATAGTCGACGTCTGTATAAAGAAAAAAAAGCAATTGTGTTTTGTTTATGGTGATCGGTATATCCCAGTGGTATCATCAAAACAGCTATACAAACAAAAATTCACGAAGAAAACCTTGGACTATCCAATCCTTTTGTAATGGGATACAAAAACAGACCTGTCCGGGAAGAGCTTCCTGTGGCTCGTAGCTATAGGCTGCTGCTTGTGATGATGACCTAAGAAAGCTACATTCAGGACATTCCGGGTTTCAGAGAATGCTAGTTCGCCTATCTTTCGATGGAATTCGTGAAAAGGAAAAAAATCGAGTTGTTTTTACGTGAACAACGTAGAAAATGAAAGTTTTTTGTCTCATAATACTATTTGCTAAGAAAGTTCCGTATGCTTCCTAAAATGACAGCTTCCCAGCATTTGGCCTTCTTCTAAGTTTCAATTTGTTTTTAAAGCTCTTGTTTTTGGAATTTAGCAAACAGTGAGTCTAAAAAATATACGAGGCTATCTTGTAGAAGTTTCTTGACATTCTTTGGCAAGATGCCAACGGAAACTCGGCGCTGATGCTAGCAGCAGCGGAAAATCGTATTCTTCATGTGAAAGAAATACTTCGAATGGCATGTGAACGTGGAAAATTATGCCAGGTAACCTTTTTTTTTCAGAAATTAATCATCTCATCCTTATTTTTTCACAAAGCAATTCCACTTCAAGAAAATTTCATGAAACTCCGAAACCACGTGGCAATGCGGGACTTAGGTTATCTAGATCAATCCCGATAACGGGTGATTGTTGATGACACTGATCGATAAAACTAACCGCGAGGGATGCAAAATGAAGAACCCGCATGGTGTGATGGTGAACGCATTAGTCCGCGGAAAACGTAGCGCGTTCGTTCCCCACCGCAGACACCTGCGGTCCAGAGTTTTGCAAATATCTCAGCAACGTTGTTGTGATTTTATTTCGTTTTATACCGTGTCATGAAAAATTATAGTAGGCAGTAGATGAAAGTTAGCATTGCGTGGGAATAGTTGTTTTTAAAAAAGTCATCAGGTTCAGTAAAAGGGACACGATTGCTTGATATCTACAACATAATAGAGACGCGTGTAACGCAGTGGTTAGAGGTTTGCTGCAACATATCCGTGATCTTTAGACCGATCCTGCACTTTGGATAATGTTCTCCGCCCTTTTGTTGTGAGAAACGTGCACAGTACTTGATTCGTGAAATAAAAGTGTGGCATAATACATAAGTAAGTCCAATTAAGTGATTGTATTTGCGAAATATGCATTCATTCCCTTCTATCTTGGCAGAAATGAAGGTGATTAGATAGCGTATGCCTAAGCGGCTGAACAGCGTAAGGTTCTTATTCCTTTCTACCTTTCGTAGTGCAATATCCTTTTGCTTTTACTAGAAACCTAGTAAAATATTGCAGTGTAGATGTTAAATTTTGAAAGCACCCAACAATCACTCAACTTGTATCACCAACTCTTCAGTTGCTCGTCGAGTGGCGGTTGGAGTGGTATCGTTGAAATCTATCGCGTGCCAGAGATCTCCGATTAGCTCTCTGTACAATTATTTAAGTACAGTCATACAACAGTGGACCTGCTTCTTACTAAGGAAATACTTTCAGCTACATGTGAAACCTATTTCTTGTTCTAATGAAGTCAACGATCTAGCATGCAGCAAAGATACTGCCCTATAATAGTGACAGAGTATTTCTGGACGTTAGGCTTCTACTCACTCACGTCAAAAAAAATCACTTTTCCATAAAGTCGCTGGCTAATCTGAGAGCACAAGCATTAGGACGAGCTTTTCCGCCCATCTAGAAGGTCTCAGTTGAAGGTTCGCCGGTGATTACATCTAATCCCAAAGCGTGGCAACCTTTTGCCACGAAACGTGTGCAGCGCAGCGTTTCTACGACATCGGTCAAAGAAAACCGACTCATTTGGAATTGTTGTAGCATGGAGGTTGCTGTGGACGTAAACACGAATTGTCTAACCAGCTGTAAAATTGGCTCCTACGGCACAAGAGTCCTTAGCGTTTTCAGTTTCTTAAACCCATTTCTACTGTTTAGACAATTTTTTTATGTTTCTATTATTCTGATCTGTCACCATATGTCTTAAAAATTTTTCCTAAAAACTAGCATTGGTTAGAGGCAAACAGGTTCGATACATCGGTAGTCCATGTATCAAATATGTCCACCTCTAGCCAGTCATTGTATAGGCCAGATATGCACTCATTTATCGCTAACGATACCTAATGGAGTCGAGTACATAGCATACCTCTCAGGGATTGAGAGTACCCGACTCTCTATCCCTTATTTCGCACTTCTGAATCTGGCTAGTACTCGAGGATCTCGTTTTCCTTACTCATTTTTCATTTTTTACGGTGGTTGTATACTGTTCGAGAGGATTCTCCCTGAAATCCGGGAAAAATCCTAAAAACGCGTCCACAGGTTTTTAACAAAGAGAAAATCAACGGTCAGTTTGGATAGATAGTAGCTTTTCACAGAAAATCGTGGTCCCAACTAGCTCACCTTAGAGAAATGATGCACTTGATTGTTCAACGGCAGAGTTGAGCCAGTAGCTCTCACGTTCATTGATGCGCAGAGTTTTTAACTACTGGGATTCTTCCAATCTTGTAAAGATTTAGTTGAAAGAAACTTTCTATAGGTGCAGGATTTGCTTTGTTTGTAAAATAATGCTGTTTAAAAGGAATTGTAGATTTTTATGGTCAATAATTACGAATTCGTCCTAACGGTTTACAGCCTCATCGTGGCTGGGAGGTGTTCCGAGGTGTCGGACTGCGATGTTCAGCGGAGGATTCATCTTTCCAGCAGAGTCTCTCAAGCTGAGAAGGAGTCTGGCGTCTCCATCAGGAAGCCTAGCTAAAAGTGAACCAATACCAGGATCCACCACCGCCCTGGTATCAAAGTCGCATGATGGCAGGTCTCCCTCTGATCCAGAAGGGCAGCGACTGCTTTCAGTGGTGAAGACCTGAGGCAAACTTTGGCCAGGATGACCTCGGGACTCCAGAGAACCACAATGGCTTAACCAGCAATTCCCCAAAAAATGGAGATCATGCTGGGGAGCGCACAACTAATGAGGACGGGCCATTCAAGTATCAAGCAAGTCGATGCTTTTCTAGAATGCGCAGACGTTAGGTTGGTATTATAAAATTTATTAAAATACAATAGCTGACGTTTCGGCGATTTCGCCTTCTTCAAAGTCTGGAAGGGTCAAACTGAGATGCGATCTACTCAGCCAAACACTTTCATAACCCTTGCAGATAAAACTTGACAAATAAATTTGCATTCGAATAGGAAACAGCTTCATTTAAACACCTACCGTTTATTTCTTGTAAGTGTTTAAGTTAGTTGGTGAATAGCAGCCGCACAGAGTAATACATGGACGATAACTGTGTCTGTGTCATGTCATTGAATCACTGAAAATCAAACATTCGCCTTGGCGCGAATAGGATGTAGAAACACAGTGGAGATGATTTTGAAGTTGGAGTCATTATTCTCATGTAGGAGTCGAAAACATCAACGCGTAAAACTTTTGAAGCGTTCTGGATTAATTCCAAAAAACTCCTAAAAATGAACCGCAAGGAGGAGTGTCTTGTTATCACGCGCGACTTCTCGCCATACCTCAGGCTAATCCAATGACCTGACACAGACACCGTCCTCGCCCATGTATTACTCTGTATTACTCGGCCGCTCTCCACCAATTAATTGGAATGCTTGCAAAGAATGAAAGAAGAATGAAAGAAGCTGCTTAGTATTCGAGTGCAAATTTATGTGATAACTCTTATCTTCTAGGGTTATGAAAGTGTTGAGTTGCGTAGATCGCATGTCACTTTGATTTCCAGGCTCTGAAGAAGGCGAAACCGACGAAAGGTCAGCTATTGTATTCTAATAAATTCTGTAATGCCAACCTCGTGCCCGCTTATTGAAGGAAAACATCGAATTACCAATCAATGCCGATGTTAATAGAAAGTCGATCTTAGGCATTGTTACGTGAGGTATCAAACAAGTATTATTACGGATTATATGGGTTTTCGCCGCAATATTTATAATACTCGTACTTTTCATTGCAAATGTAGGAAAGCCTATAAATGCAAGGAAGTTGAACTGCAGTGACTTAGTTATGACTTTAAGCTTTTGAATACCAGTCAATAGCTTGTTTTTATAGTGTGCGTACACGATATGAAATAAATTCCGTGTATTGACAGAAGATTTCCTTAGGTGCTGAACACGAGGAATGTTGATGGTTTGACAGCGCTGCAAATTGCCGTTGAAGCTGGTAACGAATCATGCGTCAAGCTTATCACACGATTCACAAACAAGCCACGAAAATGCAAGGTTGGTGCTTACTCTGATCTATGAACATTAATCAACACGTAATGGACGACTTGAGTTGATTTCCACTCAAACAGGGTAAAAACAAGGTTTGTTTCCAAAACAGTTTAAGCAAAAGTCATTAAAATACAAGAACCTTCGACAGTAAGACACAAGTTTTCTTATCTTGCTAAGCTTGAATTTTGGTTTTTTTTGGAGTTCTCAAAACCTCTCCACGTTTTTCTTCAGTGCTCGTCTTTCGAATGAGAAGGCAGAGTCTCTTCTGTAAGTTTCATGTTCTGAACTCCTCAGATTCTTTATCGAAACATCACACATGATCACCACTTCTGGAAAAGCCGGCTTCATACCAATAAACGTTAATGTGAGATATAAGATAGCCGATTGTTTCTTCTTTAACGGGACACAGTCAATAAGTATGGTTTGTAAAGTGTCTTCAATGACATTTATTGAAATAATGTATAATTTCGGGTAATTTACAGAGCTCTGATATCTTCACTTCGTGGGCGATTCTGGAAAGTTCAAAACAGTTTACTAAAATCCTCTCTCTGCATTTCAGCACTTCACAACAGTCCAAAAGAGCGCAGATAGCGTATTGTCAGTAATGTTGTTGAAGGCGAACAATGCCTTGTTTCGACTTATACCAGGCGATCCTGAAAGCTCCTCCGGTTTGTGAGGGGGGAAGAAAGTTGGTGCTACACTTTTCTGGACACATGTCACTCCTACTAGCTCGGAATGCATTTTTTCAAGGCATGAGAGCGCCACAGTTATGTCTAAATTCCAGGCCTAATAACGCTGGACCATCATTCAGAGATATTCCAAAGACAAAAATCCTCAAGCAGCCTCCAAAGCCGCAGCGAAATTCGAAGGCTTTCATAGAATATGGACACGAGAAGGCGAGTCATATGCAAGAGCTGCTGTGACAATCGCATTTGATGTGAGCTCATGTAAAATAAAAACAATAAATAGAATATTATTGAAAGTTTTTAAACGAGAAATACGCATTTGATAAATCAGCAAGCAAAAAGCTACTTGTTATTTTTTCTTGCTAACTCCAACCGTCCATGCAGCTTTAGTGGCCTCGCCTAAAGCTCCTTCCGGCTTAGCCAAAGACTTCATAACTCCCATAGCTGCTGTTAGCCTAATATCACGAATAGCGAAGCACCCAAGAAGAGAATTATCTGTAAATAACTCAACACATAGGTAACTTGGACAAATGCTCAACTATGTCTGCATCTCCAGATTAGAGAGGTTTCGGGTTGGTCTCAAATTTTTTAGCATTACGACATTTTAGCATTTTAGTTCTTTCTCTTTAAGCACCGCAAAATTACACGTTATTCGTGCTGTGGCAATCAACCATACGAGTGTAGCCAGCGGCAACCTGTCCAGAACAGTTCATAATGATAACCTGTGCGTTGAAACCACAAACTCCCTTGGCTGGATGGTTCTTGCAGTCAGAACAAATTGATCTACGATGATCACTTTGAAACCAACGTTTTCGCCTAGCATGGCTCCTGAAAAAAGATTTATAATCCATTCCACTTGGGTTGACTTCGGTAGTAACATCTTGTGGTAAAAAAGTAATGACCATGCCAATTTCCACACGTCGAGCAGGATGGTTCCGATACTCTCGATCTTGTGTACATCTCATAGAGGAATACATGGCGGCCCTTCGATGACACAGTTAAGTGAAATAATAGAATCACGTGCCTAGAGAAGTTTTTCCAGTAGGATTACTCACTTCGCTTTTTCCAGTCCATTCTTTGAACCACGGCACCTTGAGTGAAGGCTTTAGCACGTTATCGCCATAAAACCCGACATGAGAGCAAAAGGAGAAGCTTCCATGTTGTATGCAATCTTCTTGATGAAGTTCGAGACCTAATTGGCATTATCGTTTAAACGAGTCTTAAAAAATGGTGGCTCGATAGAGTTCATCTTGTTAAGAGCAACAATAAGCTGCTTAACAGCAAGGGCGTGAACAAAAAAAGCTTGTTAGCGAGTCTGTCCGTTCTTTAAAATATCGGTCTCGAACTGTTCAGTGTCAAAAGCGACGACGTGAGGACTGCAGTGAGCCTGAGACGTACCAGTGATCATGTTCTTAATGAAATCGCGATGTTCTCGAGCATAAATGATGTACTTGACAGTGTCAAACTTATAAAAGCGTGAAGATTGTGATACCATGCTCACGATGTGCCTTCAGCATGATGAGAACCCAAGGATATTTGAACGATCCTTTACTCATTTTCTGAGCTTTATCAATCGTTCGCTTTTCGATGCCACATCATTTGCATACAATATGTCCAAAAGTAGTCGATATCCGGAATCGACATAAGAAATGACGACAGTATTATCATAGGATTTTTTCACTTCCTACAGCTGTTACTTTCAGCTCGAACTTAGGTAATTGAAGACGTTATTAGTTCCCACTTACACAGTGGTGTTTTTTCCGTATTGTTAAGCTGTAATGCGGTTTTAAAGACTATCTTCATGAAGTGTAGTACTTAGTTATTAATGCTTGTTAATGTCGCGCCCGTTCGAAGTTTGTCGATAAGTTTCCTTCGGAGGCAGCCACCAACGTTTCGGCGGATCGGCGGGAACTTTTCAGATAAGATGCCTTTGACACGAATTTCCCGACCGCAGAACGATGGGTTTTGTAGCTGACTCGTATGATGTTGAACCTGGGTTTTTCTTTGCTTTTGAGCGTGTGTCTACCGCTGTGCTATCCGCATTTCTGAATAATTGTACGTGGTATGAAGTCTTGTTTATAGAAGATCAAAAAGCAGAGCATATCAGGGGGTTCAAAGGCGGTGTTAGTTATTAAGTTACATCGTTAGATTACTGGTTAATTGACGATTTCACTGAGGCGGGAAGTCGACTTTCACAATGATTTCCCTACCGCAGCAGTCTGCCTTATCCGCTGTCTGAATGTCTCTTTACTTGTTGCTCCGTTTCTAAGAGGGGAATGCAAGCACTTCTTTCCAATGTATTAAGCTTTTCTCGTTCTCATATATCATACTGCTTTACAGCTAATTACCTTTACAGCTTTGCTTTCAACCCCGCCCAATTCTAACATTTCAGTGTTTCTCCTATCTATTTCTAATTTCCATCCGGTCTCATTTTTTTCTCTTTGCAAGCTCTTTATTCTCACTCTTTTCACCTAAGTCATTCTTTGATAGCTCACTTTTTTCCAAAGCTGTCTCTATTAGACAATCTATATTTTCCTTTGTTTTCACTCTCTCACTAAGATAACTGGAGTTATTCGAAGTGATGATGATATCAAATCGTCATTAATAGAATAGTGGAAAGTACATAACACACTATGGGTCCATTTATATGCATGTGCACGCATGTATATGCACGTGTACATACATATATATGTATATACTCATATGTACACACCATACACATAAATATATACTCACACAGTAAACACATATACACCTACACTATATATACACCACGTACACATTCATATAAACGTACTTCCTTATTTGATACTTGGACGACCCCTCCTCACTGGTTGTGCGGGGCCTAGCACAACCACCATTTTCCGGAGATTTGCTGATTAGGCCATGTGGCTCCCTAGAATCCCAAGGTCAGCCTCGCCAAAGTCTGCCTCAGGTCTGCACCACCGTAGGCAGTTGCAGCCTTGTGGATCAGAGGAATATTTGCCGCCATGCGGCTTTGATACCAGGACAGTGGTGGATCCTGGTATTTATTTACTCTTAGTTAGGCTTCCTGATGGAAATGCCGGACTCCTCAGCTTGGGAGACCCTGCGGGGAGGATGAATCTCCCGTTGCACATCGCAGTCCGACACCCCGCCATGATGATGTGGTGAACAGTTGGGAGGACATAAACATACACCATCTTGTATACTAAGACTGATGTCGTGAGTTGTCTAGTAAGAGGAGCGAATGAGCTGTTTTACACTTCGATTGTTCACTTATAGTATAACACAGTTATGTGACACTAATTTTTAGGTTTTAGCTAGCAGTTAAATGTAAAGAACTCTTGGTCAATATCAGAAAGAAAAAAGTGTTTTCCTTTAATAGTGCTTTCTTCTCTCTAGCATGGAGCTGTGATGCTTCAATAGCAATCAGATTCTTAAATGTTATTTTTTACTAATATGCAGCTGTTGCTATTACAATGCTTAGTTTCGTTTTCTTTACTTTTCTTCCAGCCGCATCTCTCCAATATGCCCTTCATGAAGTCAAGGAACCGGGAAACGAGCGAAAACGAAATCAAAATCGAATTTGATGACTTGATGACGTCATCGTCTGTGCAGTTTGTGAGTCTGACTTTATTTTATTTCTCAAAAAAGAAGGTACGAAGAGCACGAAGATTAAAAGAATGAGAACGACTTTAGCTTGGACCCAGTTATTGTCTCTGACGACTTAAAACGTTTTTATACTGTATAGATGTCTAATAGTGACGCAAACAGAAAATGAAATGCGAACTTATCACTCAACACGCTGGCATAAACGGAACAAAGGCATTTATCACTAATTGTCATACCAGGCTTGTGATATGTGAAAAACAAACGGAATATTTCCTTCTGCTTCCTGTTTCAATATGAGTTATAGGTTTATTCTATTAGGCACTTCATAACCCCTTTGCATGATGTGTGTATTTACATGTATGTGTCAACGTCTATATATACATATAACTATAACTAATAACGGATATGAGACGGATAACACAGTGGTAGTGATGAGTGTCATCACGAACACGGTGCTAGTTCGATTCCGCTCCGGGCCAACCAAGCCTGTCATCCCTCCGGGATCGAGAAATCGGTATCGGGTTTCTCTGGGAAAAAAATCACTCACTGCAATCCAATTGCGAACGCTTCAGCCCGGCTATCTCAAAGCTCCAAGAAGAATTGCTGGACCAACATTCTACGACATTCAAGATGAAATGGAAATCCTCAAGCAACAACCAATACCACCCGTAAAAGTTGGAAGATCTTCTTCGACAAATAATCCGAGGAAACAAATCGAATATCAGAGGTGCTGGAATCCGCACAGCACACGTAAAGACGGGTCATACCAAAAAATAAAAATATACACATATGTAGGCATGTGCGTTGGTGTGTGTGTGTGTGGATGCTCACATTTTCTAAGAGCTCGAAGAGAAATTACCGTAGAACAGCTCTTATGAAGATGAAACTAGCTGAATCATTTGCCATTACGTATTAAATGCCCTTTTACAATAACCATATGACAGCTGCTAAAGACCACTGTTGCTTATTACTGATCAATGCCGAATTTAATTAAAAGGTTGTCTTTGAGAAATTTTTTTGTTCATTGCGTCAGAAGACAATAGCGAACTGCACGAGATATCGAAAGGATATCACTGGACATGAAATCCCAAAAGGATTGTATGAAATGAAAATCTTGAAAAAAGAAATCTTAGGAACTTCACTGTTTTTCATGAGCAAGACTGTTTCTTCTATTGTTTCCCCCAGCTCACTCATTACTAGTGGCTCACCATGATCTTGGTCTTGACGCAGTCGATTTTTGAGAAATGTGTTCCATCGAACTACCCTTAATTAGTAAAAGTACTTTTTATGAAGTGAAGCTTTTCTCCAGTGCTTTACATAAACTAGTTATGTCTTCTTTTGTTAAAAGATAAACTGAAGACCGATGATTCTGAGGAAGCAACCGCAGGACATTCCGTTAGCCATTGCGAGGTAGACGTCACAGTGGGTACTTCATGACAGCTCATTGGAATGTGCCGAGATTAACTGCAAGTCGGAGTTATAAGAGTAGTCTCCTGTTACTCGTCGTTCATCATGCGAAAGACATTCCGCTTTCGGTTTTCACGATTCCATTCATTTTTGATGAACAGAAATAGCAGAGGATGATGCATATGGTACTAATACAGCACTACAAGTACGGTTTCAAAGTTAATTCCTTACAAATCACAATATTTCTCGAATGCTGTTTGCAACACACGTCACCACTTCGCTGCCCTCAGTCGACACAAACTATATTGAAACATATCGTTCCGACGTTACTCTTCACTAAGGCGGAGAATTCAGTACTTTCACAGATGTCGACGCTGTTTCAGGCGAAAATAGGCGTTTTTTTGTTTATCTGACTAATCAGCCCAATGATGCTTGAGTTTCATTGCCTACATTGAACGCCTACAAAATGGCAAAGACTGTTCAACATCTTCTATATGATAGCCCACTTGAATAATTAAGTGAGCCGTCTCTACAAAAACCATATCGACTTCGAAACAATTTTCATTTGACTCGTATTTTGTTCGTTCCACAGATCTTCTTCCGTGGTCCATAGACAAACCATGATTTTCGTAATAAAGCTGGTTGCCTGCGGCAATCGCTGGATATTAAGAATCGAAGTGGAATTTTTTATATTCGGGTGTGTTTCCCTTAAGGCAATGGCGATTCATTAATTTTTCCTAGTTAATTTTCAAAGAAAATTTTGAAGTTTTTCTCAATTAGGATGACCCTCATACGGGAGTGAGCCACCCACTACACATCACATTATGACAATTCCCGTATGATGATTATCAAACTTAGGTATTAAAAGATTCTGTTTATAGACAAATCTACTTCAAATTTGCTTGTAACATCTTACCATCCAAGTGGAAATTTGATCTTTTTGCGTTTTATATGCCTGTGTTGCAGTGATATTTGTAGAAGCTTCAACATACACTAAGATATCCTTTTCCAGCTTTCTGCTTTCGTTCTCATTTCATTGTGAATCTTGAAGGAAAGTCACCGCTCTGTCAAACTGGAACCTGCCATAATGCGACTGACGAGGAACAAATTGAACAACGATTTCAAACAAGCGCCAACAATGGATATGCTGAAAAGGAACACATCTGGGTAGGAACACTTTTGTTACACGATTGTACGGTCCGAAACGAAAATTCCATCACCGCCGATTTGTACGTATTTTTCTGGCATCCCTTTGTTATGTTCTCTTAAAAATGGCAAAAGGATAAAGCTGTTATCGTTGATCAATCCCAGAGGGATGCGCCATGTATTCTACTTCACCAAACGTCGTTAATTAAATGATTCAATGCATATCTGGCCTATACAATGATTCGCGGTGGCCCATCAATGTATTAAATCAGTGTTGCTATCTCTGGGTGGGGCAATCGAACCTGTGTTTAATATAGGGGCCTCTAACCACTGCGCTAACTACTTATGAACTTTTATCTAAAATAATTATGAAGAGCATTTTTTCGTTAAATAGAGATAATTTTTTGGC